CACCGCACATGGCTAAGAAATCAACTTGTGTGTCTATGGGGTGCCCCCTTCCCCCGTATATAAAGGAGGGGAGGAGGAGGAGGGACGGCCACAAGGGGCGCGCCCAAAGGGGGGATTCCTACTCCTAGTAGGAGTAGGTTTCCCCCTTTCCTAGTCCAAGTAGGAGAAGAAGGAAGGAGAGGAGAGGGAGAAGAAAAGAGGGGGGGCGCCGCCCCCTCCCTAGTCCAATTCGGACCAGCCAATGGGGGGCGCGGGCTCCCCCTGCGGCCCTTCTCTCCTTTCCACTAAGGCCCATGAAGGCCCAATACTTCCCCCGGCGAATTCCCATAACTCTCCGGTACTCCGAAAAATACCCGAACCACTCAGAACCTTTCCGATGTCCGAATATAGCCTTCCAATATATCGATCTTTACATCTCGACCATTTTGAGACTCCTCGTCATGTTCGTGATCTCATCCCAGACTCCGAACAAACTTTGGTCATCAAATCACATAACTCATAATACAAATTGTCATCGAACGTTAAGCATGCGGACCCTACGGGTTCGAGAACTATGTAGACATGACCAAGACACATCTCCGGTCAATAACCAATAGCGGAAACTGGATGCTCATATTGGCTCCTACATATTCTACGAAGATCTTTATCGGTCAAACCGCACAACAATATACGTTGTTCCCTTTGTCATCGGTATGTTACATGCTCGAGATTCGATCGTCGGTATCATCATACCTAGTTCAATATCGTTACCGGCAAGTCTCTTTACTCATTTTGTAATGCATCATCCCGCAACTAACTCATTAGTCACATTGCCTGCAAGGCTTATAGTGATGTGCATTACTGAGAGGGCCCAGATATACCTGTCCGACATTCGGAGTGACAAATCCTAATCTCGATCTATGCCAACTCAACAAAGACCATCGGTGACACCTGAAGAGCATCTTTATAATCACCCAGTTACGTTGTGACGTTTGATAGCACACTAAGTGTTCTTCCGGTATTCGGGAGTTGCATAATCTCATAGTCAGAGGAACATGTATAAGTCATGAAGAAAGCAATAGCAATAAAACTCAACGATCATAATGCTAAGCTAACGGATGGGTCTTGTCCATCACATCATTCTCTAATGATGTGATGTCATTCATAAAATGACAACACATGTATATGGTTAGGAAACATAACCATCTTTGATTAACGAGCTAGCCAAGTAGATGCATACTAGGGACACTCTGTTTTGTCTATGTATTCACACATGTACTAAGTTTCCGGTTAATACAATTCTAGCATGAATAATAAACATTTATCATGATATAAGGAAATATAAATAACAACTTTATTATTGCCTCTAGGGCATATTTCCTTCAAATTACATTAAGGATGGAGACATAGATATTTGCAAAGTACATATAGATATAAATGTGGCAGACCCGCTGACTAAACCTCTTCCACGAGCAAAACATGATCAAAACCAGAACTCTATGGGTGTTAGATTCATTACGATGTAAACTATATTATTGACTCTAGTGCAAGTGGGAGACTGTTGGAAATATGTCCTGCAGGCAATAATAAATTGGTTATCATCAAATTTCCTTGTTCATGATAAATGTTTATTATTCATGCTAGAAGTGTATTGACCGGAAACTTAAATACACGTGTGAGTACATGAACAACACCGTGTCCCTAGTAGGCGTCTACTAGACTAGCTTGTTGATCATAGATGGTTAACGTTTCCTACCCATGGACATGAGTTGTCATTTGATAACCGGATCACATCATTAGGAGAATGATGTGATGGACAGACCCAACCGTAAGCTTAGCACCAGATCGTATCACTTAGTAATTTGCTACAGCTTTCTTCATGTCAAGTATCTGTTCCTTAGACCATGAGATCATGTCACTCTCGGATACCGGAGGAATACCTTGTGTGCTATCAAATGTCACTTCATAACTGGGTGGTCATAAAGGTGCTCTACAGGTATTTCTGAAGGTGTCTGTTGAGTTGGCATGGATCGAGATTGGGATTTGTCACTCCGTGTGACGGAGAGGTATATCTGGGCCCTCTCGGTAATACAGCATCATAGGAAGCTTCATGTGACTAATGAGATTAGTCACAGGATCTTGTATTGCAGAATGAGTAAAGAGACTTTCCGATAACGATATTGAACTAGGTATGGAGATACCGATGATCGAATCTCGGGTAAGTAACATATCGTCGGACAAAGGGAATTGTATACAGGATTGTCTGAATCCTCGACATCGTGGTACAACCGATAGAGATCTTTGTTGAATATGTGGGAATCAATATGTGCATCTAGGTCCCGCTATTGATTATTGTCCGGAGAGGTGTCTTGGTCATGTCTGCATGTTCCCGAACCCGGAGGGTCGCACGCTTAACGTTCGGTAGTGCTAGGGTAGTATTGAGATATTAATAGTGAAAAGTACGAAGGTTGTTTGGAGTCCCGGATGGGATCCGAGATATCACGAGGAGCTCCAGAATAGTTCGGAGGTAAAGATTCCTATATGGGAAGACATATTTTGGTCAGCAGAAAAGTTCCGGGTTTTGTTGGCAGGGTGTCGGGAGTCCTGAAAGGGTTCCGAAGGTCCACCTGCCCTAGGGGGCCACATGGGCCGTAGGGGGTGCGCCCTGGCTTGGTTTGGGGGCGGGACCTTAGGTGGAGGCGCACCCCTTGGCTTGCGGGGCTCTCCACCACTTGGTCGGTGCCCCTTCCTCACCCCTATAAATAGTGGGGAGGCGGAGTGGGGCTGCACCCATCCATCTCTGGCCTCCGTCTCTCCCAACTCCTCCCACATTTTTCCGGTACGTGCTTGGTGAATACCCGCCGAAATTCCCCTGCCACCACCACCACCATACCGCCGTGCTGGTTCGGATCTCATCTACCTCCTCTCCCTCGCTTGCTGGATCAAGAAGGAGATGACACCATCAAGCTAAACGTGTGCTAATCTCGGAGGTGCCGCCCGTTCGACACTAGATTGGATTGGATCGCGATTGGATCATGAATAGTACTACTACATCAACCTTGTTACATACGTTAACGCTTTCGGTTTACAAGGGTACATAGATACACTCCCCTCTCGTTGCTATGCATCTCCAAGATTAGATCTTGGGTGTTCGTAGGATTTTTTTTGATTTTCATGCTTCGTTCCCCATCAGTATCATATTAAACAATTCAACCAACATCAATCATATCATATTCAACAATTGTAAGTAAATCTATAACAAAGGATATAATCAACAAGACTGGAATATGCAAATGAATCTACATCAACCATTCAACCAACATCAATCATATCATATTCAACCATTTTACTATATGCATACGAATCAACATCCATCATTTTCAACCAAATCAATCATATTTATCCTACCTCAATCATATTCAACCACATCAATTATAATGACCAAACATCAATGAACCATTAAAAAATAAACATGAACTAGGGTTCATCTTCAAACTAGATAGAATCAATAAACTAGTCACTATGACATGAACTAGGGTTCATCTTCAACCACATACATCAAATTGAATCAAACTAAAAATACCTATAATGATCAAAAAATAATAAATACTAGATGAAATAGGGTTCATCTTATGCCAAAATAATGCATCAAAATGAAAACTTCTTGACTAAAACTACTCTGAGGGATTGAGAGAGCTTACTTCTCTCGCTTTGGAGCTATCTCGATCCGCAAAAACGATGGAGAAACAGAGAAGATGGAGAGGGGAGTGGAGGGGATGAGAGAGAGAGAACTCCTCTGTGTTCTTGCAGCGACCGCGGTAGGGAGAAGATAGGGGTGTGTTCATGGGTGGGACCCACGAGCCGGCCCCGCTGCTTATAACTGTTCGCCACCTACCGTCGGGGTCTCTGGCGATAGGAAAAGAGGTTAGATCTTGGACCGCACCATATACCGCCACCAGCGTCCAATTAAATCCATCGATCTTGGACCTAACCCAAAATTTGACAGCGAAATCTTCCATGACCACGCTCCGAACTTCCAGCGTCTCACATCTAACCCCAAGTAAGATGCCACCTGATCTTCCTCTCGGAGGTAGACAATGCCAATCAAAATCCGTCCCTCCCGACAGCGTATTAAGGAACTGGCGGTAGGGTATAACAGCCTACCGCCAGGAGCATCGGCGGTAGGCTTGACAGCAGAGGACAGATGTCGTTTACTTGCGCTAACGTGGATGAGTGGCCTACCGCCAGGGGCCTCGTCGGTAGGTAGTTATACCCTACCGTTAGGGTCTCTGGCGGTGGGAAAAGAGGTTAGATCTTGAATTTTTTTTTTCTTTAAAAAGGGTCAAATTGGGTTAAAATTCACCGAAAAGGTTAAAACATCAAATTTGACTGCCACTCTAATGGCTGGCACAGTGGATGCCAATCCACGAGCTCGTCCACCAAAACCGGTTGGCGTGATGGGTGGCACGGACTCAGGATGCAGTCTTTGTCGAGGATTTCGGAAGTAAGCCTTTCAGGCCATACATACATGGTCGGCAAAAATCTGATGGGACAGGACCTCCGCTAAATCCACCATCACCGAGCACCGAGGCACCGAGCTCTGTCGGCCGAGGGTGACGATACCGAGTGAGAAAGGTGAACATCAGACTATACTTCACATGGTTATCAGAAGAAAAAAAGAGAGAGAGAGACTATACTTCACATGAGCGTGTCATCAGTTCATCGCTCACATGAACGCGTCGTCACCCGGAAGTATCGGCCTCTTACGACTGCACATCCTTCAATATCCTGGGAATACTGAAACTAGCCAGCAATCCGAAAGATTTCACTTATTGAACACGACAAAACTGGAAAGAGTATCACTGCGCACCTCGGCAACACGATGCCACAACACCCGTAATTACATGCACACAGAATCACACCCTATCTCGCAGCGGAGAAAATTATATCGAAGAAGGCCTAGGCAGCAACACGCGGTCTGAAGGATTGGATTATGCATGGCGACTGGTCGGAGAGATCCATCAGGTGTGCCCGCCGGCGGGCTTGGACCCAGACCCACGGCCTTCCTCCCGCGCGGCGGCGTTTGCGGACACGTAGTAGACGAGGCAGAAGACGGCGTGCACGAAGCAGAGGATGCCGCCGATGGAGAGGAAGCGGTGGCGCACCACCCCGCACTCCGCCATTACCTTCTTGGAGTTCGGCAGCGCACCGAGGATCAGCAGCGCCAGCCCCACCAGCAGAACCATCCTGGCAATCATAAACATGTTGACATTTTGTACGTGTTCTTCGAATCGAACCACGGGAACCGGAAAAGCATGCAGGAGTTGATATAGTATTTTGATGGTGATGTGGCGGCTCATGCTCGGCGTGCGTAGGACAGGAGCGTACCATGTGAGGACCAGGGCGAAGGACGCCATCTGGCGGTTGGGCGACGAGCGCCGGCCGCCGGAGCAGCAGGGCCACGTGCAGGAGCAGCCGCCGACGATGTTGGCGATGGCGTGCGACGCAGCCAGCACCGCGGCCGCCGCGATGCCGAGCTTGTAAGCCTGTGGGACAGGCTGCCTGCACTCGATGAAAAGTATCTTCAGGTGCCTCCCCTGCAAGACGAGAGTAATCAAAATTTGCCATGAAACATCACCAGACAACAACGAAATCCCTCCTTTTTGACGACACGGTTACCTGGCTCTGAGCTTTCTCCGCGTGGATTCCAAGGACGCCGGCAACGACATCCATGGCGACGATGAGGAGGCAGACGACCACCGCTTCAACTCTCGCCATGGCTTCTGCAATCTTGGTTCTCCTCCCCTCCTGTCCACTGTCGTCGTGGTGAAAATGGAGGAGCAGCGACGTGGGCACGACGGGCAGGCTTGGGTGTCGCTACTAGACGAGTGTGCAGCGAAGATGCTTTAGGTCTCGGCTTTTATTGTTCTTTGTTGTTTAATATCTCTGCGTTGGTTTTCTTTACCGATTCCTCTCAGTGCTCCCACGAGAAAGGCAGAAAGCTCTGCTAGGCTCTGCTTAACACCAAAGAAAGAGGCGAATGTTAAGGTGACACGAGCCGACAGGGCTCGAGACATCGATGGCACTGCTAATTACCCATCATATCACTCTATGAGTGAGATTTTCCTGAATCCCACTTACCTGGATTACCTCCAACGATTAATCTTCATCCTCACTAAAGTTTAGCCGTAATCCATAGACTTACAGCTCTGTATTAGTTCAAAATTGTGCAACTTTCATACTGATGGTCCCAATCTATTCTTCAAGTTCAAGTTATGGTCAGAAGAAACAGATCGTTATGATGGTGTATATATACGTAGCTGAAAAAGGTATTGGATATTGATTCGAGGTCCTACAGGAAAGAAAAAGAAAAGGTATACAAACGTTGGGCTGTACATCCGCGCTGGCGTATGGCCGCCAGCCTGCGAAAGAGTCGCTTTGCTAGCTGAATGGGCGACGTGGCGTGCAATGGAGCCATCTGGTGTGTGGTGGTGTGGCTTTCGAACATGGTGCTCAGTTTCTACTGTACGACGATGGATGTAGGGTGTCGATCCAGGACGGACGAAGTTTTGTTGTCCTTGAGGGCAACAACTTTTAAAAACGTCTTGACTTTATTGTTATAAGCAAACATGTCCTCTATATCTAAACAACGACCTTCGGAGATGGCGCTCAGTTTCTACTGTACTTCCTACTTTGAAAAGAAGGCTTTTACGTATTGTCTAGAGTCCAAGAGTGCAAAGTTTGATCAAATTTATAGAAAAAACTATCAACGACTATGATACCAAATTAGTATGCATAATTTGACTTCAAACAAAAAATATAGGGATTTTTCGGTTCATCCCATTAACAAACTCGGATATTCGGTGATGACTGCCACTTGTACTTTGCGAATTCGATCTGTGTCACTAGCGCTCACGAAGAAATTAGCTACATGTCTCTAAGGAGACCCGGTTGGCTGTTCCGAACAACATGGCGATCCACTGTTGGGGCCATAAATTCCATTTTGCCACTCCTTCCCTTGGATGTGAGCCCCCCAATGTTGAGAAGGAGATTTGATTGACCCTTTATGCGATGTGGCCCCACCTACAATGCTCGATAGTGGCACATTCCTAATATTTGGCCAGAGCGGTTGATAGTGGCACGAAGATATATTTTTGCAGGTACAGCCTCTTCCCTTTCGCCACTTTCACTCACGTCATTCCCTGCTTGTCCAACACACCACCTCTGGCTCACTGCAATCGAGCTCCATTACCTTTCACGTAACCGCCACGGTCTGTGTCGTGGAATTGTCACGACAGATGTTCTAGTGTGAGGACTTAGTCGTGGAGCCATCACGTTGAGGTTAGCTTAAAGGGGTTAATCAGGACAAATGACACGAGAAGTTTATACTGGTTCGGCCCCTTACGATGAAGGTAAAAGCCTAGTCCAGTTTGTAGTTGGTATTGCTAGGGTTTCAATGAGCAGGAAGCGAATACGCTTGAGCCGGCTCTCGATTTGTTGTTTCTTGTCCTAAGCCGCCGCTAGGTCGTCCCTTTATATACACGGCTTGACGCCCTGAGGCCCTCAGAGTCCCGGCCGGCTTATACAACGTATCCGGCTCGGTGACCTTTCTTACGTACCTTACCATACAAGTTTACATACATGGCGGTTTATATCTATGGGCCTTAAGCCTCCTTCTGGTCTGGGCCCTCTACTAAGCCTATCTATGAACCGCCATATGATCTTTGGGCTTGATTGTGATGAATCGTCATAGGGATGGCCCAGCCCCTCCTGGACGGGTCATACATAATAGCTATATCCCCAACATTAGGCCCCAGGTTGATTTGAACTTGTTCATGTCAATCTCCAAGACTTAGAAAAAATCCTTTCATATCCGCTGCAAAAACTTTGTTACCCGCCATGACGTCATCTCCGAGAATTTCGGAAACCCGCCACGACATCATCTTTAACGGATCTTTATCTTAATGCCTTCTCGAAAATTGAGGCGTCCAATTAGCTGGATAACCACCATTCGGCCTCCTCGTCTTTCGTGCCTGCCTGTTTTCCTGTCTAGTTATAAATAGGACCATAGGGCCATCTCTCATTCTTCTCCTTCTCCTTTCTTCCTCCTCATAACGCATCGTCTCGCATGAACCTTGCCGCCGTCGACCTCCGTCCTCGTCCTCGACTCCGGCCGCTACATCGCCCTAAATGGACCAGAAAAGTGCGGCGCCACTCCGCTGTTCTAACAGCACTAGTAAGCCTTCCTTTCTTCGTCACAAATCTGCCATTAGGGCTTGACGGTGTTCATCAGTGTTCATCCGCGTTCGTCACTGTCCTTCTTTTTCTTTGTTTAGATCCATGTATTAGATCCAAAAAACCATAGGAATCTTGTGCAGTAGTAGTTTTAGCACTTGTTTTGATACTAGATTATATTCCCACCGCGACAGATCTCCTCTAGGGCTCCTCTGCTTTTCCACTGTCACTTTCTGGAGATGAATTTATTCCCCTTTTTCTAAACAGTGGTAGATCTACGGAACTTGTTTGTCCCAGTACTTAGTCAATTTTGCTTTCAGTAACTCTTGAATATCTTAATCATGGCGGCTTACCCTGCCGGCTTATCTTTTCTTCATATATCATTAGCCCTTGATTAAGCCGCCATTATAAACATGCACTGTATTTGTTAACTTGCAATCCCACCAACTAACTTGAGCTGACAAACTATTTCCTTTTAGATTGTCCTTTCATCATGCCGCCAAAGACGATGACAACTTGCAACTGGGTCCCTTCCACAGTCACCGAGAGCAATTTGAAAGATTTCGTCACTGTTGGATACTTACCAGAGAAAAGTGTCATGTCTTATCGTGCTCCTAATCCGGCTGAAGAGATACCTCAGCCGAAGGACGTTGAAATTATTGTCTTCACTGATCATATGAACCGGGGCTTCTCGCCGCTCGGCTCAAAATTCTTTAGAGATGTTTTGCATGTTTTCAAACTCCATCCACAAGATATCAGACCCAATTCTGTATCAAACATTAGTAACTTCCAAGTTTTCTGTGAGGTTTACCTTCAAGAAGAACCTACTGGTGAACTCTTCAGGGAATACTTCTACTTGAACCGCAAGAACGAGTACACCAATGGTCCCATCTTGGAATTTGGCGGGATTTCAATTCAACGCAGGTGAGATGCCATCTTCCCTCTAGTAGTCCTGCCAAGCCATCCCAAGGACTGGAACCAAACATGGTGAAGGAAATATGCCCTAGAGGCAATAATAAAGTTATTATTTATTTCCTTATATCATGATAAATGTTTATTATTCATGCTAGAATTGTATTAACCGGAAACATAATACATGTGTGAATACATAGACAAACAGAGTGTCACTAGTATGCCTCTACTTGACTAGCTCATTAATCAAAGATGGTTATGTTTCCTAACCATGGACAAAGAGTTGTTATTTGATTAACGGGATCACGTCATTAGGTGAATGATCTGATTGACATGACCCATTCCATTAGCTTAGCACCCGATCGTTTAGTATGTTGCTATTGATTTCTTCATGACTTATACATGTTCCTATAACTATGAGATTATGCAACTCCCGTTTGCCGGAGGAACACTTTGTGTGCTACCAAACGTCACAACGTAACTGGGTGATTATAAAGGTGTTCTACAGGTGTCTCCAAAGGTACATGTTGGGTTGGCGTATTTCGAGATTAGGATTTGTCACTCCGATTGTCGGAGAGGTATCTCTGGGCCCTCTCGGTAATGCACATCACATAAGCCTTGCAAGCATTGCAACTAATGAGTTAGTTGTGAGATGATGTATTACGGAACGAGTAAAGAGACTTGCCGGTAACGAGATTGAACTAGGTATTGAGATACCGACGATCGAATCTCGGGCAAGTAACATACCGATGACAAAGGGAACAACGTATGTTGTTATGCGGTCTGACTGATAAAAGATCTTCGTAGAATATGTAGGAGCCAATATGAGCATCCAGGTTCCGCTATTGGTTATTGACCGGAGACGTGTCTCGGTCATGTCTACATTGTTCTCGAACCCGTAGGGTCCGCACGCTTAAGGTTTTGATGACAGTTATTTTATGAGTTTATGCATTTTGATGTACCGAAGTTTGTTCAGAGTCCCGGATGTGATCACGGACATGACGAGGAGTCTCGAAATGGTCGAGACATAAAGATTGATATATTGGAAGCCTATATTTGGATATCGGAAGTGTTCCGGGTGAAATCGGGATTTTACCGGAGTACCGGGAGGTTACCGGAACCCCCCCGGGAGGTATATGGGCCTTAGGGGGCTTTAGTGGAAGAGAGGAGAGGTGGCCAGGGCTGGGCCGTGCGCCCCTCCCCCCTAGTCCGAATAGGACAAGGAGAGGGGGCCGGCGCCCCCTTCCTTCTCTCTCTCCTCTTTCCCCTTTCCCGAATCCTATTCCAACTAGGAAAGGGGGGGATCCTACTCCCGGAGGGAGTAGGACTCCTCCTGGCGCGCCCTCTCCTGGCCGGCCGCACCCCCCCTTGATCCTTTATATACGGGGGCATGGGCACCCCATAGACACACAAGTTGATCCACGTGATCATATTCTTAGCCGTGTGTGGTGCCCCCTTCCACCATAGTCCTCGATAATATTGTAGTGGTGCTTAGGCGAAGCCCTGCGACAGTAGTACATCAAGATCGTCACCACGCCGTCGTGCTAACGGAACTCTTCCCCGACACTTTGCTGGATCGGAGTCCGGGGATCGTCATCGAGCTGAACGTGTGCTAGAACTCGGAGGTGCCA